CTAGTGTATAAAATAACACCTTATATTATTTTTCTGTAGGATTCTGATGTGAGAAGAAAAATCTTCCCATTTCATCAAATATATTGCTTTTTCAGCTGCACAATTTAGGTACCAAACTATTTGATTCAAAAACACCTACCACCTTAAGAAATGCACACAAAGGTGTGTAGATTTTAAATACTAATAAGGATGCACTCATTTTTCATCTGAATATCTTGTTAGAGATTATTCATTTTATCAATACTTATCATGGCCATGGTAATATTTAGAATACAATTTCTGGCAAAAAATATGCCAGAGAACTATTCAGCTTAAAGTTTCTTAGCTTAAGACTCTATCCTACATCAGGTCAGTGGCATTTATGTAACTAATTTCTTGCTGCAATCCTATCACTTCACTGAATATTTACCAATTGCTTGTGGGGAAAAATAATGAATTCCTTTTTTCAGAGCAATAAATATTGATAATTAAACTAATGAAGTATTATTATTTTTCCAGTCTGGACATGGAATTGACCCAGGTGCTCATTATTAAAACTTTTTAATATGTTTTTGCAGAATGAGAAAATGAACATCAGTGAACCAATATAATTAGCATGCCTTCTAAATAGATGATATAGTTATATACTTGTTAGTATTAGGAGATCCTACAAATTTCATTTATCAAGATACAGCCCAGCAGGCATTTTCTAGTGAAAAGGGCGCCTGTGAATCCCCAGTATACCACTCAGATCACCCCCTGAGGGGAAACGCAACTTGCATTCAAATCAAACGTTTTCCTATCAAATGCTCCACTAATGGCTTTCCTATGAGACCCAAGCCTCTCAGTCACCTACTACCTATTTAGACATGTCAAAACAGAATTCGTTGTTTATTTGTATTTCATTGAAGTGAGTCTGTTTTCTCATATTGAATTTGTATCCAAACCCCAGGTTGTCAATACTACTTAGTTAGATCTGCTGTTTGTTGTGTTTTTCTCTGCATGCGATCCAGGGGAAAAATTAGTGTCACTCATGCCAGTTTCAACCCTCCTATAAATCCTTAAGCAGTGTATTAAATAATTTTATAAAGTAACTAGCATATATATTAAGGGATCTTGGAAACAGTTCTCACATTGAAAGCTGTTTATCAGATGCAGTGATGACTTTGCTATGCTAAGGTTTGCCCAGAAAAAAGCTAGAAGAGTGAGTAGTGTAAGGAAAAAAAGAAGGGGGGGGACCCATTGTTTTCAGTATTTCTCTAAATTACAGTAAGTTTAATTGCCTCACTTCTTTATAGCTCAACTAGTCAGTAGACATACATGACTGCAGTGATTTTTGTGAAAATTATTTAAATTAATTCTGTTAGCAGCCTCTAAGTTAGTTTACTTGTGCTTAAGCCTAAATCTGTGCATTAAACATTCCATAAAAACAAGAACTAAGTGTTATGTTTGATATGCACTTCAAAAGCCTAAAAGGCCAAAGAAAGCCCTTCCTTAATTATTGAAGAAGTGTCTGTAAAGGAAACATGAGCAAATAGCATTCATGCTTTCATCCCCAGTAACCTTTTATTGTCCTTTTCTTCAGATGGCCAAGTCAGTATATTTAATAAAGGGAGCAGCAACCATCAAAGAAGGCAGGGGTCTAATAAATGGTCCTGATTAAAGGCCCTGACAGGGTATGAACTTTGCATAAATTTTCCTATGGTGTCAGGCTAGGATCCTGATTGAAAACCCATTAACATAATCACACATTTAGAGGAAATGCTATAATGTATCAAAAACATTTCCCTTAGTGTAATAATTTTAAGGACATTAAAATGCAAATGATAATAAGGAGCTGTGTTTTAGTGATGTTCTGAAAGCCTGATTATTCAAATATTTAGTATGAAATATGGAAGCTCCTTTAACTAATGCATCTACATGATTTCAAAGATTTAATCTATATTTGTACTTGAAAGACTTTTATACCAGTACTGAATATTTTCTGTTAATTTAGACTTGCAAAATCCAGCAAGAAATTTAGTTTAAACGTTAGTGCTAAGTGCTAAGACCTTTTAGCCTGCTAAAAAAAAATAAAATAAAAACATAAAAAAATATATAAAAAAGTCTGTGTTAAAACCAGGAAACCAGGACACAAGCCATGCTCTTTCATTAAGTACTGAATTGTAAAAGTCCACATATTGGCATTGTTTGACTTATAAAAATTTGAAGGATTTGAATCATACTTTTCTCTGTTTCTATTAAAATATATGCTTAAAACAAATGAGCCATTCAATCTCAGCAATGATATTCTTTAATGCTAATTTTTAACAATAAAAGAAACACTATCCTCCCACACACAAATAGCCATAATTATGTAAAGAATGACTGCTTCAGACTGATGACTTTCAATATGCTTGAGTCTAGCATACTGGTATAAGAGGCCAGAAAGGTCAACAGTAATTCATAACTGCTATAAAATTGTGTAGCATCCTAGGGCTTCTGGAAGATGCTGACATTATCATGCTTCTTCTGCTGGTTTGTATATGTAAATTTGTGATAGGAAGTGCACTGCTTTGCCATATCGCATGCAGAGCATCAATCAGGCAGTAGAATACATCAGAGTATTTTCATTATGCCTAGTTATTTACTGCATCAGAAGAAATTACCCTGGCAAGCCAAGCGGCCTTCTCTGGATAGCATGATATGACCAACCAGGTTTCAGCTCAGAAGTCTTGTAAACATTACAGGATTAATCTCACAATCACAATCATCAATCTTTCCTAGTCCTGCCTGGGTGCAAGTGTGGAGATTGGTAACCAGGCAATGTAGATTTAAATTTAACCCTGAACATCAAGAGCTATATGTCAGATCCATGCACCATATTACAAACACCTATATTTTTACTCCAGCTTTAGTACAAAATGATGAAAACATAAAATTTTTGCACTTCAAATTCATGACTAATTTTTCATTCCCATTTTTGATGCATTCCAGAGAAATAGGAAATATTCTGAAAAAGATATATTTCATAATACCAGAATCTAATGTTAAAACGATGCACTGTGATGCCTAGATCTAGTGTATGTATTAGAGACAACTGACACTGCAGTAAAATGTGGAGTAGCAATACAGGTTCAGGACCAGACTTGGGCTCCCTGGCACTGAGCCATTAGAGGTTAGGGCACTTTAGGGGTAATGTACTTAGCCTCTAACAAATGGAGCATTAAATACATCACGCTGACTCATAGGTAGCGCTGGCACCAGTTTCTGAAATGACTGCTTGCTTGCCCTCTTGCCAAAGGAGGGAGAGATTCTGGCAAAACTAGGTGCTCTGTGTAAAAATGAGAAGCTGGGAAATGAGAGCAGCCTATATGAATGTTTCATCATTGTGTGTTTAACTATGTGCAGTATATAACCTAGCCTACGGAGATAATGCAGAAGATAACATGTATTCTTTTCCTTTTCTTTTTTTTTTTTTTTTGAAAGTCACATGAAAATAGCAGTGATAGTGATCATTTTTCAGTAGTCAAGAAACAATAAATATATAATGAGCGGATCATGTATAGAGACTGTGGCAGTTTAATTTGAACTCTGATCTTTATTTTTATTCTTGTTCAAAATACTTTTTTGCTGCATGCATCCTAAACATTTTTCTCCCTTTCTATCTCTGCATCCTAAATATTTTTCTCCCTTTCTATCTCTCTGTCTCTGGTTTCCTCTCTCTCTCATTCTGTCTCTGTCTCTTTGTCTTTCTCTTTCTCTCTCTTTCTCACATATATAGTGGTTCTGTTTTATAGAAGGCATATAAAAATTGTTAATAAGCTTGGGCTTACTTTTATGATTTACAGAAATATTAATTTCCATGGGTTTCTGCCTTTCTCTTTATTTAATCAGAACTGCAGGCACTTTACTGCTGTATATGAATGCATTCCCTCTGTAATAGGTTCCTGTTTAGCAAGAGAGCTAGCCTCTGCCTACTAAATAATTCCTGTATAATATGCAGCGATCATACTCATTTGGTCTTCAATGATGGAAAGTCTGCAACACAGTGCTTAGCTGATGCACAGATGTGAAACCACTGATTTCAGAGATGCTTCCTGATTTATGCCAGCTGAATGTCTCATTTAAAGCATGCTTTCCTTCTACAGATGTGGGGACTGAACAGTTAAGTGCAGAGAAGACGGGTGTATTGCAGTGCTTACTCCATTATTTCTGTTCACAATCCTCCTCCCCCAAATTGATTTTTTATCTCTTTGACCATTTTTAAATAACTAATAGCCTGATATACTTTTGTGACTATATCTAGTCACATGCTGTTCCCTTCAAAGGCCCAGTTAAACCCACAATACATAAGTCTTCCAGTACAGATAAGACAAATGTGTACCACCTCACACAGATGATCTTGGTGCATGTGGGGGTGTGAGGGGTATGAGACTTACCTGTCTGCAGACAGGAATCATGGAGCTCTTTAGGAGGCAAAAAGCACATTAATACAATGAGCTGGCAATATGATTCCCCATTCTTTGTGGCTTGTTACCATAGTGAGATTAGCCATTCCTTTGACCACAGGCTTGTAGAAATTTCATGGGTAAGGAGTAAGAGATGAGAATAGTATAAAAAAAAATAGCCCGGCCTAGCCCCTTAGTGCAGGATATGCTTCTGCCTCCCATACTTAGAATATCTGCAGTCTCTGGGAAGCTAGAGTACAATCCTCTGGGCCCAGCTGTGCCATGGCAAACATAACCACCTATCCTTCTGCTGGAGCAGGGTTAGGTTGGCAGTACCAGAGGTGGTAAGCAGGCACACAGCTCTGTATGCATACATGGAAGCCCAAGACTCCTGACTCTGAGCAGCGGTGGAGATTGCAGACTTTAACCATGGCCTGCACGTAATGAAAAAGTGGTACCTTTGCTCTCCTTTAAAAGACTCTGTAAAGTAAAAGATCTTCATTCTCTCTTCCTGTCGTTCAAAAATCCCATTAAAAGGAGATATTAATTTTCTTGTTCAGTGCTGGAAGACAGTGATTATTATTTTTTCTGCTTTTAATATTAACTGATGACACAGAATGAGAAGCTGACTTATTGTAAACTATCACAGAACAAAAAGCAGGCTGAAAATTCCATCCTTTGCTAAGGATGAATCCACATCATGACATAAGGCAGGTCACTTGACTCTAAACTTGAAGGAAGTTTGCCCTAGAGAGTGTTGCAATACATGTCAGCTTATTAATTTAGAGACCTATTAGTGACAGGCCACAAACCCACTCATAAATTTATAAAGAGTAAAGGACTGAACAGAACTGTTCAATTCCAGAAATTTCTCATCTGTTTGGGAAATTATGAAATATAATTTTTGCACCCCTTGTACTAGATACACCTAGGAAATTCTAAACTGGGAATGTTTTATGGGCCAGGCAGATTTTTCTAAGCCACTGAATGACATTGTAGTGTGTGCTATCTTATGAGGACCTGCAGCTCTAGAAGAGGCAAAGGAAATATTCCCTCTGGAGTGTCTCTAACATGCCTGAGCTTTTCTAGCAGCTGCTTCCACCACATAAAAATAAGTGATACTGGGTTTTAGGAGCTGAGAGCATTAGTGCACTGACAAGGACATCACCCAACATCTGGAGGACTCTTAGACAGTGAGATGTCATGAGCAAAATATATTTCCCTGACATCTCCCAGTCTTCTCATTTCCATTCAATGGCAGAACCACTGGCACACTCCGTGAATGTTATCAGCTGTGGCTGCAGGCGTTCCTCTTGCACCTGTAAGCAACAGCTGTGTAAGAGGGAGCTTTCCAAAGCTAAATGGTTAGGCTACTGATGACACTGCCTGCATGAAGTCCCATCAAAAAGGATATATGAGATCACTTCAACCATTCACAGTTTTGCAAGGCTTAAATTCTGCTTGTCTACACAAGAAGTTTGCATGCAGAAAGCAGGGGAGTGAATTAATAGAGCACTAACTACAGCACCTCACAGGGCTGGGCTCTTTCTTTATATGGTGCTCAGATAATAAGTTCCTTAAGGAAAGTACTCTGTCTTCATTCCTGTCTAAAGAGGTATCTTTTTATATGGATATTCCTAGTATGCATTGTTTGGTGCTACACACTTCACTTTATACTAAAGGTTATGCCTGTGCACAGTAGCCAGACTATCATAAATTCACATATATGCTTACTAATATCTATGTCCTCCACCTAGACAACCCCAACCAAATGCTGGCAGAGCCTAAAGCAGGACCTGAAACACATTCCTCTATACACAAGCCTGAGGCTATCTCCCCAGCTATTGCCCCAGATAAACTCAGTGAAGTAGGCATGATGTTGTGGGAGCATTGATTCTTAAACAGAAATGAAAAAGAAGGAAAATCATAAAAACTTGGGCATCAGCCTTCATGGTTTACACCTAATTAGTGAAATCCAGGACTCACTACTCATTCTTTCAACAGCATCCTATACTCTATTAAAAGCCTGCCCAAAATTATTCTTAGCTTTGGTCCTCTGAACACTTCTTAACACTTTGGTTTTTTATCTCTTGCATCCAACAGGATCTAACACCAACCTTCTTTCATCACCTCAGAGTAAATTAGGATGCTCTTGGAATCCAACCTAGGCTACTTTATTGTATCTCTCACTGTAGTATGTATGAGCTCAGCATCTCCCAAGACCAGGTTCATTGTTTACATGCTGCTTAGGTTATAAGGTCTTGGACAAAAATATTCTGGTTTCTTCCCTGCCTTAATAGTCTAGCCTACTGTTTGCCTTACACAACTAAACTGTAATAGTATTTGGATGAATTTAAATAAAAATGTTTATCCATTTTACCTGTTCTCAGCTTTACAATATTGGAGTCGCTTAATGTGATAATCTTGGTTTCACTTTGGGATTGTCCATCTGTAGGGAAAAAAAAACATTTAAGACTTTCACCATTTTGGGTAGAATCTAGAAGTGTGTATGCATTCTGCTTCACATAAATCTGTCAGCAGTCTTGGTGCTAGTGCCAGAAACTAGATGGAGCACTCCACCCCACTAACAACCAGGTTTGTGGTAATGACAGACTAGGAAATATTTTGTGATTCCACTGGAGCCTCATCCCTGAATCTCTGTGTTTGTGAAACTCAGATGTAGAGTAGCAAGGAGAAAGCCACGTCTCTTGATGAGACAGAATGTGCCTGCTAATTTGTGTAAAGATTCCACCACAGAATATCTTTAATGGTCACCTAGGCCACTGCTTATGCATGTGTCCATGCTTAGTAGCTCTGACAGAGCTGGGAGGAGCTAGAATAAAACTAGGCAGACCAGAAGGAAACCAGACAGTAGATAAGCTTACCATACTGTTATAATACAATAGAATTAATAGGTTTTGTGCCCTCAGTTTCAAAGTTCTTTACTTTGAACACAAGCAATTTAGAGCAGTAAAAGCTCAAATTCAGAGAACACTGATCCTGACAAAAAGTTTACAGTTTAGGATCTTGTTGCATCCTCTGTCTTTTCTTAACACTAGATTTTCACTTTAATGTGCTTGGGAAATATATTAACTTGAAAAAATAAAAATACAACAAAGCAATTTTGATTCACAATAATCATTTATGCTGGCATTTAGACCTAGGAATGAGGATTTCTTTTGATTGATATTTTCCTCTAAACATTACTGAAAAGACCAAAATAAGCTCTTACTGCAGCAGCAGATACACACCATACACTTTTAGAGCTAGCTACAATGTGAATCCTGTGACCAGGTAGTTCCTAGATTTGCACAAAGTATGTGTGACTTAATGCTGCAACAAAATACATGTAAAAATACTAAATTATGGTTCTAACTCCTGTTAGCTGATACTCTACTCTCTTTTCCTCATTCTTCTTCCCCTTCTTTCTTTGTTTTAAAGAAAATATTTGGTAGGTCAGCTTCAGTAGCCAAAAGAGTTGAATATGTGTGAGGATCAATACCAAAATACTTTTTTCTACTTCCCTTGCAACTGTGTAAGTTTTCTCTCCATCCCAACTCATCTCTCTCTTTCTTTTTGCTCTTTCTCAGCATATCATATGAGCACCCTAAGATAATAAGCTTCTTGAGCAGAAAGTTTTATAGGCCACTAATTCAATCAACACATGTACTGTGTCTGTAACTCACACTCAAAAGTAAATTATGGATGCCTACAAAAAGCTTCTGTCCATATCTATACGTAATGTGACAGGTTTTGGAGGCATATATGTTTTCTTCAGTTTTTTTCTTTTCACTTTACTCCTTCCTTTTCTTTCACTTCTTGTCATTCCTCCTAAAGCCACACTATTACAGGAAGATTTGCTTCTGAGATGATTGGATTCACACTACATCTTGAATTCTGTTAAAATTTCCTTCCAGGGGCAGAAGCCTAATACATGAAACACTTCTGAGCATTTGAACATAGGTTGCATACACTTCAGCATTTTCAATAAGAAAAGTTGCATGGCAGATCTTGGCTAAAAGCCAGTATCTAAAATATCCTTAAATATAAGGACCAGGAAGTTGATTTGTATCTGGATAATGAATGCAGAAATCCATTAGAGTGTGCAGATTTCCATTATGATCTCTTGGCAGGTTTTCCTGCTTAAGAGGTGGGCTGCTGAGTATTGCACAAGATGAAACTTCTGTGTAGCCCTTAGCCCTAAGTTAGGAACATGGAGAAGATAAAAGCATGAATCACAGTTTCCAGATCTTCCTTTGACAGCAATAGGCACAGCCTCTTGGGGAAGTGGGAGCGCAACCATTTCTTACCACAATTATCTCTGTAGTCAGGACTATCAATGAATCTAATGCAGCCTCAAGATTGTTCTACATTATCAGCTGGTGAGGGCATATCCTCTGTTGAAGGTACAGTCAACATTACTGATTGCTCCTTTCAGTGTTTTACATTAACTTACTTTTCCCTTCAGGAGGTTGTTTTAAAGTTTTAAGTGTCTTGTTCAGCTATGAGTGGCCTTTTAGCTCCTCAAATCCTTGCATCAATTTAAACTTTTCTCTAATTATATGCTCCCTCTTCTGGGAGATAACATTGGTTGTAGAGGCTGTGATGGAGGTGATGGAGCTAGTGAAAGTTCAGCAAGATTGTGGTATTGCAATTATCTCCAGGGATCTCTGAAAAAAAGAAGTAAGATTAATACATGCAGGGCTCCATATAGGTAACCTATGGATTGACAGCCATCTCACAATCAGCTGAGGTTTAATAAAAATGGTTGTATACCACCTTGGGTATTTTGTCACCCAGTCACTGGAGACAACCCATCACCAGCACCTAAACAATCTGCATTTTCTGCTCCTGCATGTAGCCTGATGATGATGTCTCCAATATGTTGGTATAAGCCATATCTTTGCACCACAATGTTCTCATTGACCAGTCAAGAAAAGAATTTTAGTGATTATTTGACAGCAGGTGAGATCATTTTGGTCAAGTGTTTAGTGTCCTGAATGATCTATTGCACATTATGATGGTTGGGAGATTACTTTCTGTGAACCAGCATTTATGTTTCCGGTCATTAAAGTAGCCAGTTGCACTTTGCTAGCTTTTACTAGCTATTAGAGTCAAGAATTTGCTTAATAAATCATAATAACATATGTGAAGACATTTTTTAAAGCTCTGAAAGTATATAGCACATTATTGGCCATGCCTATGGATTCTCCACCTTTTTTGAATATTTGAATTGTTCCTCTGTATTGTTCAAAATAAAGTCCTGGATACTCTATACATTAAGAAAGAGGCCTGAGTACACTTTTTTTTTTGCATTTTTATAGACTGAGGGCACATAAGATACATTGCTCAGCTCTCTGAGTTTGCACAAAAACCATATATTTGTTTTTGTAATTGAGACCCATGCATGTGCATAGTCATATACCAAGAGAAAGAAGAAGCAATTTATTCCTAGCTTTTCCAGCCTTGTGAAGGAAGGAAGCCTTGAATTGGTTTTATTCCCCTTGGTCCAGCGTATTTAGAAATGAAAGACTGTGCTGGCCACAAGACAGTAAAAAATCTTCTGTGATCATATGGTGTTATGCTGTGGTTTCTTCAGTATGAGAAAAATTTTCATGAAAGACACTGCATGACTGATTTGTCCATCTAAAATGACATCAACATTTGGAATAGTCAAAACTCTCATCCTATAGAATATATGTGTTTGTGTGTGTGTGTGTGTGTGTGTGTGTTATATTTGAGCACAGACCTTATTCCTCCCTTCTAGTCACAGTGACCAGCAGGAAAAGGTTAAGGCACATGCTTTCTTTCATCATCCCCTGTACATATATTCATATATGCATTTATTTAAGTATGTACAAAGTGCAAAAGTGAAGAATTTTCATTAGTTATCAGTAAAATGCTGTACATCCTTCTCTTTGAAAAGGAGGACTACAACGATCAATGGGAGTAAGTGAACTTTATATTCACTGTAGTTCTTTGTGCTGCTGTCTGCCTTAGAAAACTTAATGAATTTTTAGGTTAAAATACAGTAGAAAGATCTTCAAAAGGTGGCATTTTTATGAAGCACATTTTGAGGAAGGGAACCTAAATTAATGGCTCTGGCTCTTGTCTGCCTCTGCTCTTAAATAATTAACATTTATTTGATTGAAGCAATATCTGATGTTATTTGATTGCTTCCCTTTAACAAGGTCTGCAGGAAATACGTCTATACAATATGTATACACGTATGTGTATGTTTCAGTCTTTGGCATGGTCCTGTTTTTAATATTTTTCTTAACTCCTACGTTTAAAAGATCAAAGCTTTAAAATTTCTAGGATGATATGCTGCAAGTGTAGTGATGGTTTTAGTCTCTATTCGTTGGGCTTTTTCATTTTAAATCCATATATAATAATTTGATTGCTTTAGCTCTGACTTGGTTCTTCTGTTATACTTGTTGCATCAAAATTCCTTACCTACCAGGACCACTGTGGAGAGGCTGGAGCTTAGGTGTGCTGTTGATGCTGCATGCAGATATGAAAAGAATAAACATAATAGTCAGATTAACTATTTCAGCCTGAAGATTTAGTCTCAGAAAAACCTGTTTTAAGATGGTGAGCGGGTTGTTGGAGTTTATTTTTCTTTCTCTTTTTTTTTAATTTTAATCAATATTTTAGTGTATTTCTTTTTTTTTCCTTTTTTTTTTTTTTTTTTTTTTTTTTTTTTTTTTTTTTTTTTTTTTTTTTTTTTTTTTTTTTTTTTCCCTCAGGGCTGGAACTTTGCATTCATACAGCACTTCACACAGTGGGACCTTGATCCTGGCCAGGACCTCTGAGTGCTACCATTATACAAATAATAATAAAATGAAGCAGAACAAAACAGGAGCCCTATGGGCTAGTTTTTAATGCTCCTGTCTTTTCTTCATCAAAATTAAACCAACTGAAAGATAACACTGAGCAAGGGATTTTTTCTATTTTATTTTCACTGATTGTACATTTTCATAACATGCACATCATGAAATGAGTGGATGACACATTTTCAAAAAGAAATGATAACACTGGATTCAGTTGGTTTTACTAGGCAGGCTACTAAGTATACATTGTTTGGTGGCATCCTATTCTGCTGGACTAATATTAATTTTTGAAAGGATTTAATGTTATGATACATCACTTTCTTTTTAATTGTTATTATTTTATTATTTTAACAATTTTATTCTGTTAAACAAATCCACAAAAACATGCTTAATACCACAGAAACAGATTGAGCTAAGTTTATGAAATTTACAGATTACCTAAAATGCTAGGAGTTAATTACAGTCTGCTTTCCCTGGCATGTCAGCTTGATTAAATTTGGAGTTCCAAGATGAATTGGCCCAAATTCATTAGTGTTCCCCGGGTGCATATGTTGGTCAAGGTCAAGCGAAGCACATTGACTGTAGTGTTAGTCAGGAGGGGGAAGGGTTTCTAAAGAAGGTGGACTCTTAAAAGGTCTGGGGTTGCAGCAAGAAACTTTGATACTTTTTAACTTAATAAATCTTGACAGCCTAATCATGGCTAAGCCTTTGCAGTGTTATTGGTACAGATGGCAAAGCTAGACATATTTAAAGAGATCTCAGCAGCTAGTGGCAGGAGAGCATTGAATCCAAATGCACTGTTGGGCTCTCAGAGAAAGTGCAAGAAGAGAGGATAAAAAGCTACACAGCATTTCCATCTCTTGACATCTCCAACAGCCTCAGATACAAAATATGATAAGGCTCCTGCTGAGCTAATAAGCCCAACAAATGTCTGTGTCCATGAAGTAGATGAAGTGGGATCAAGTAGTTGGGGGCTGCTGTATGAAAATAAGCCAGCACCCAGGGTATAATGGCACTGTAGAAAGCTGCAAGGTCAGGCTGATGACAGAAACACTGGATAAGTAGAGACCCCATCAGTAAAACAGGTTTGCTTGTTGGATCTGAGCCACATAACTACAAAAAAAAAAAAATAAAAACAACCCCTATGTTTCAGAAAACTTGTCTTGTTTGGTAAATAGAAGGACAGTGGTTTGTTGTATGAAAAACTGCAATTGTTTCCTATTTATCGCCATAGATTGTAGATTAATAGTTTCTCTGCAAAATATGACATCATAACAGACCTGAAAAGAACATTTGACTGCAAACTAGAGGAGATTTTTTTTTTGAAAAAAAAAAAAAGTAATACCAGATGAACAACAGATTTTTTCAATATTACACTGTTTTTCTCTTAAATTTCAGGTACCTCAAATATATCGGTATTCATCTCACTCTTAAATACAGCTCTGTGAATTCCAACAAAATAATATATGATGAAACCTTGCTGGATATACAAGAGTGATAAATGCAACTCCTTTCATTTGAAAGCAAAGCAAAACAAAAGAAAAAAAAAAAAACAAAGAAGAAATATCTTGCTGAAATAGCATTAAAATAATAATTAGGCAGTGCTCTGGAACAGGTCAAGCTGTTGCATTAATTCTTAAAGCATCATATTCCCTTAGTGCTACTTGTAAAGGTGTGTTTGAAAAGTACAGAACCTTCTTAATACCATGTGCTTTTGTTTGTTACATTTTGGAGATAACATAAAAAATTCTGACAGCATGTCACAGAGGTCATACCTATAACTCCCTTTTACTATGTGATGTTTTAAATTTATACAAACATAATTATTTCTAAATTCTAGTGTGCTGTACACGTGCTACTGAAGCCAAAACAAGGCAGATCTGGTCCTATGAGTAACAACAGCATTAGGAAAATAAATCAGTAGTGATAGATGATGAATATTTATGATTGTTTCTCTCCTACCATTTTAATCATTTACAGATATTTTCAGTTTTCATCCAGTAGAAGTCCAGCTGAACGCCGTGCCTCCCCTGGAGTCCTAAAGAGGATGCATAATAATGTGCCAAGCGGGCTCCTTCCCTCAGCCGGCCCGGGTCGTGTGTCACGGTGGCGGCCCAGCATTGGGATGCAGAGCCGCGCCGCTCGGCAGGAGCTCCGGGAGGCACGGTGCCTCAGGCAGCCTCGCTGTCTCCTGGAGCTCTGTGTCGGCCTTGGAGAAGTGCATTGGCTGCTCCAGCCTTTGAGGCTGCGGCGTGTTGCTCCTGCCCACCCCCAGCCGCAGCCGCGGCGCTGGGCCGAGGGGACGGCGAGGTGACCCGGGCCCCTGCCGGGCCTGCTCCCGCTGAGGGGGGGCTCTGTGGCACGGGCTCATACGGACCCAGCAAGGGCTGCTATTCTCTTTGATCCTTCTGTGATGGTGCAAACCGGAGGGGTACGTCCCTCTGCTTATTTGGATTAGGTTTGTAGGTGGCTGCCGCTCTCTTGAACAGCTCGTGTCTCCCTCCCCTCCCTTCCCTTCCATCTTGAATGCACATGACAGTATTTTTTCAGCCCTGCCAAGCATCCCGGTCTATATATTCCCATTTATCACACTAACATCTCTGCACCTTTTTACTGCACAACTCCTTCCAATCAGCAAAAAGCCCAGAAGCAATAATATATTTAAAGTACCCTGCCAGAGCATTTTCATTGCCTGGTGGCTGAGGAGAAGAGGAAGTCTGAGAGCTGGGGAACAGAGGAGTAGGAAGAGATAGCTGAATCTCCTCTGTACTGCACCCAGATCATGATGCACAAACAGGGTTCTAGAAATGAAATAACATATAAAACATAATGCCTGGCATCAGAAGACAGACTTAAAGCTGCACAACCAGGGCTCTAGAAATGAAATAACATATAAAACATAATGCCTGGCATCAGAAGACAGACTTAAAGCTCCACCCCAGGTATTCACCCTAAAAGAGCACAGTAAGCATCTAGTTCTGCCTTATATGGGTCAGAAAGCACACTGACTTCATGTCATTCTCACTGCTCTCTCAGTGCACTTAAAGCTGTAAGAATCAGACAAAAGTGAATGGGATGTAAAACTGTATGTAAACAAGTGGCATTACTAAGCACTGCATTCAAGGCTGGGCTTTCGGGTTGAAAGCCATATTGAACTTAATAAAAATACCAGTTACCAAATACTGATTACTGAATTACTGAGCACTGCCAGTTAATTTTTACAGAAAAGCAGACTCATTTCACCTTTTGAGCCAAAGCACACAATGAAACACAGTGGATAGCACCATTAAAACTAACGTGAGAGATGCAGGATTGCTGTTTATCTACATTGTGTGTTATCTGATCCATCACAAAACTGTTCAAGTCACAGGTGAGCTGTAGAGAAGGAAGGGACAGGTTCTAGCTTAGCAGCAAATTCTGAAAAAGGCAGAGAACAAAAACAGAAAGACAAGTGCTAGTTTGTGACACAATTCCTTTGCTTGGCTGAAAATGCTGCTAGTGCAGCCTAGTTACTTAAACCTGCCTGTATTTTTGCTACTACCAGTGGCTGTTCCTGTAAGGTGTAATGGACCTATATATCACATTGAAAAGCCATGGCTGCCTTTTCAGTCATGCTCACCATACTTCCTTTTCCTGAAGCAAGTGTTCGCGAAGATTTTCACCCACTCTCTGCAGCCATTGAATCTCAAAACAGATAATTTCAGGTAGATGATCTCATTCCACTCTCAGTGCATCTCTTAAAGATTCACAGGGCTGAACTATATCAATTCAGACAGCAGCACACAGGTTTATCACAACTCAGAACCGATCCACTTCATCTCAGTGATACATTAGCTTTTTGTCAATAAAGGAGAGATGAAAAGAAGGGAGAATATGTTTAAAAAGTTCTTGATTCATAACTTTTATACAAATTATGTTTTTAATGAGGGAGGGAAATCACCCTTCATTCCTATATTTTATTAGTATTTGAAAGAAAAAAAAATGAGGCAGTTGGCTTCAATATATACTCAGTAGCTGTGGCTTCTCACCTGTGTCACAGTAGGTATTTTAACTGGAAAAAAGCCTGAGAAAGAATAATTTTAGTAATGATACGTTGTCTGCTGTTATAGGGGATGTCAATGGTTATTCTACCCTTGTAGCATATACTTGTGGGAGAAGGGGAACTTTATTTTTAAAAGTGACCTGGAGATACTTAGTATTTAAAAAAGGAAAAGACATACTTAGCAACTGACACTGGCACCAAAGAAACAGTAAGAATTCAGGAAAAAAATCAGGACAAATGTGCCCCTATTTTATATAATTCTTCATAAAACTTGTTGAAGCATAGATACAAATGTCAATTAATAAGATTGTACCTTTACATTAGTATTATTTGATATACATTTGTGTAAATAATTTGGTACTTACCTTCTTCATCTTTTAAGCTGCAGTTACACAAGTTGTAAAATAAAGTTACTCCTTTACTTTTTCAGAACATTTCTGAGTTATTTTGACATGATCCTGAAGACACTCCTAGAGTAATACTGACTGAAGCACTTTAGTTTGCCTAATACTTTCATGCTGCAGAGATTTAGGAAGATGAAAACAATCCCCATCTCTTGTGCTAAAAAATTAAGAGTCAGCAGATCTGAAATCCCAGGGTGGGCAGCATCCTCAGTGCAACCGGTGGCCAAAGGTAGTCTCTGTTTATGACTGCACATCACCAGCCAAAAAAGTAAACCATGTGTGGGAAGAAGGAGTATATAAAGGTATCTAGAAAGTGAAAAAGTCAGTTGAGGATTCCCAGGGTGCTACTCAATCCCATTGAAAATGCTCCAGGAAGATAAAACCCTTTTTTGTCTCAAATGTATACACTAATGTATGTTATCTTCTTCAGCTAAGGGCTGAGAAGGGTCATGTGTGCATGTGAGCGACTCACTTCCCTGCAGTGTGATGCCTGAGAATGGCATCACTGCCCAACAAGTGCAACAAAGAAGTGCAAACAGCTGTCCCAAGTGCTGGCAAACGCATCTGAAGAATAAAAATGCAGCATTTTTCGCCAATGCCAGTTCATTAAAAAATTTCCAGTTAGGACAAAAATCTTGGAGTCAAATTTTCTAATTGAATGTCTCTTTCGAAGAACGTAGATGTCTCTTGCATGCATCCAGTGTGATAAGGTATTTTAAAAAAATGTAGCCAGTTCCAGGGAAAATCTGTTTTTAAAAAATGAGTAATGCACTAAAAACATAACTAAAATGGTCTGAAAAACAACTAATATACTTTCCATTTAAGATGATTAATTTGAATAACTCTCGAAAGGGATGAGTGTAAATGAAAACACAGTATTGTGTTATCATCTCACATATTTCATCAAGTTATTATTTTAAAAGTACATGGATTTTTTCAATGATAGATAAAAAACCCACAGAATATATTATATTACAAAAGTATTTTAACAGGTTTTAAATGTATCAAATATTACTTTCACCAGTATAATTAATAAACATGTATGTGTGTGTGTGTGTGTACATATATATATTTATATGGACCAATTTATATGTAACTCTCTAAGATATAAATTGCAGGGAGTATTTTGACTGGTTCTTTAATTTTTTTTCCATTGAATCACAGTAAATATTTCCAGTCTTTCCCTTTATTTTTTTTCCCATGGCAAGAAGTCTGTCTCTCACTGAACAAAGGAAATGATAGATGTGAGCCTCTGTGATTGCTGAGAAGGCAGACACAGTAATGACACTCAGAAAATTCTCTTCAGTTCAGAAATCATATCTAGTACATTAGAAGCATTCAGGTTTCCAGAGTACTATGTGCAAACTTCATTTTTTTCCCTAGGATCTTGGTTTGTTGTTAAAGTAAATTAAGTAAAACACATCAAATGAGGTTGTCTAAAATGTATGCCATGCCATACAGGATAATTGAGTTTCTATCTTTTTCCTTTAATTATTTTAAATTGTTTGTTTTGAGGTAGAAGAGACACATAGAGTACCAGAGAAGAATTGTCTTTGTTACTAATGCAGTATGTAGGAGGCAATACATACTAGCACCTGAATGCCTAAGAAATACAGCATTTGAAGGTTAATTGACTCACTGACACCAGAGATTGTATTTGTCCCAAACTTTTCATAAATACAGAGACTTTTGTACAGATACATGTGTGAGTCTATATGTCTGTGACCTAATTCTGACTTTCCTCCACCTGCAGCTCACAGGAAGGCCACTGTGAATGAGTTGTGACAAAAATATGGCAGGGGAGAGAACTGGCAGTGAAAAACAGAAATTCTTGAAAAGTGAGGTGCATTCTTTATTTTTTTTGCTTAAGCTGTGGATAGATGTTTCTGGCGCTAGACAAAATTTGAAATGGAGGTGAAAAATTAAATTAAATTATATCTCTTTACATTACCAAGAAAAAAGGGACTGTGTTTTTGTATACCAAAATCTACCAAAAATCCACTTATTTAACCACTGAAATCCAACATTTGCTAAAGACATGGAAAACATTTCAATGAATCCTTGCTAGAAAAGTGGAATTAAAGTTTGATCATTGTGATCATCATGGTCATTGAATACTAAACAGTCTACAGCATACAGCAAGAGCCACATGTCTCTGTTCAGACCTACCTTTTTCTTAAATAGCTTTGCTGGTTCTATTCATCTGCAGTGGGTAGAAAAAATACTTTGAAAAGAACCTTACTTAACAGTTTAACCACATATACTCTACAATTTCTTGAACAATGTCCAGAACTTAGCTTATTTTATTAATTCATTTTTCTGTTCGCTTTGCTTTAGGGTTATGGGTTTTTTTGAAATATTTACTAATGTGCTAACTTTCAAGTATTTTGTGATTCTATCTAAATCAATACAAAGGCCACACTGACTTTAGTAAAAAATAATTTTGAATTTTATAAAAAAATATTACTTAGTTGCTATTCATTACTTCATAGAATCACAGAATGGTTTGGGTTGGAATGAAACTTAGTGACCAATAGAGGAGTCGTAGCTCCTCTGCCATAGGCCTGGACTCCTTCCACTAAACCTGGTTGCTCAGAGCCCAGTCCAGCCTGGCTTTGAACAGTTCCAGGGATGGGGCATCCACAACTTCTCTGAGACATCTGTTCCAGTGCCTCACCATCCTCATAGTATATAATTTCTACATCTAATTAATGTCTAATCTAAATTAAATTATTGTTCCTTGTCCTGTCGCAACATTGTCTTGCCAAAAATCCCTCTCTGGCTCTATTGTAGCCCCCTTTAGGTGTTGGAAGGTGCTATAAGGTCTTCCTGTATCCTTCTCAAGATGAACAGCACCAACTCTTTTAGCCTGTCTTCATCTGAGAAGTGTTCCAGACCTCTGGTCATTTTTACAGCCCTCCTCTGGATACACTCCAAAAAGTCCATGTGCTCTTGTGTTAAGGACCCCAGAGCTGGATGCAGCTCTCCAGCTGGAGTCTCTTGAGAGCAGAGGGACAGAATCATTTCCCTTAACCTACTGGTTATGCTGCTTTTGATGCAGACCAAGGTATGGTTGCCTTTCTGGACTGCAAGCCCACACTACTGTACATTATTTGTCCCAATTCATCATGTAATTTTGTCATTTCCTGAAAGTAAAAATGCTATAACTATTTTTTTTTCTGCTATCAGACTTTTAGTTAGGCAGTATAACGTATTTTCTACATATTATGGTTAGCCTATTCCCAGTACTTTGAAAGTGCTTTTATTTTTGGTTTTCTGTCCATATCAGAGGATCTTGTAAAGAAGGATATAATAGAATAAAATATCCAATATTTAAATGTCTTCAAGTAAATAAAAATATTAAAAATTCAAATTTTTAAATGCTATTCTCTAGCAGGGCTGTTTCAGCCTGTGAAAATTTTGTTGACATATTTTTTTCAAAAGAAAAAATCAGCCATATTAAGTGATGAACTATTTGAATTGCTTCTGGCCTTTTGAATACAAGGTTATAACTGGTGATCAACAGTTCCCTCAACTATAATCATGAAAGACAGCTAAAATCTCTACAGTACTCATTGGTCTAACTGAAGTCTAGCACATCACCACTAGTTAATGGTTGCAATGAGATACTCTCTACTATGACTCACACTTTAATTAATGCTGCAAAGAAACCTTATTCTTTTATGCATGTCAGCATGCTTGCCAGAATTTTCATTTCAATTTTTATTGTTAGTTTAATTTTCATGTTCATTTGAATTAAAGGGAAAACATTTGGTTTTCATAGCAGTGTATGCAAATGTTTTGAATCACTGGGATTTGACCTTCTGTAGTTTACAAGCTGTGTTGGCAAAGCCTGGCTTTTTTTCAGCTGCAACAACTGATATATTGTGTTGTCTGTGGTTACTTGTTCCTGACTCTGAAGCCAATGAGGTTTTTTTTCGGAGCCTTTGTCCAAACTGTTGTAAAGCTATTTTGAGGGTATAGCAGCTCTCTCATCTGACAAGCTCAACTACTCCTTGCATTGAAGTTGTTAATGTCTTTTAAAAAATCTTGCCTTCCTATTTGATGTATTTCTGCACTTCTGGTACAGCTTAATACATGTGCTAACAGCTACTCTGAATTAATTTCCAAATATACAACACTTGCTACATATTTACAATGAATTGACTATTATTAGTTAGCTTTGAATATGTACCTATAGTGGCCCACTATTTACAGGGATGAGGAAAATTATCTACTGGCAACCTTGTGACTAGGCATTTCACAGCTAGAGCTAAGAGGTCTAGCTGGTATAAAAGCACTCTTCAGGGTAAAGTTGATGAATTGTAGTAATCCTGACTGGTGTCAGGACAAAGGATTCTCTCTAATTGAGCATGGCTGAAGAATCAGTAAGGGGCAGTATTAGTTAACTGGCCTAAAATGAAACTTTCAATAGGCCATCCCTCCCTCTCACACA